AAGAAAGGGCCCTAGCCGGCGGGGCCCAGCCAGGACAAAAGGAGGTCCCACAAAGCGCCTACACCGGCCGCATTTGCGGTCGAGGTAGACGACGGATGGGGCCCACCTACGAAGGCTGTCCAGGCCTACACGAGATGAGGCAGGATAAAGCGGGATAATCCCCCTCGATCCCAAATCATTGAGGCCAATTTCTAGCCATGGAATAATGGCGGCGGCCTCAATGATTTGGGATCGAGTGGGATTAATCCTCTTTATCCTGCCTCAACTCGTGTAGGCCTAGACAGCCTTCGTAGGTGGGCTCCATCCGTCAAATCAATGGGTTTTGTTTTGTTTTCTCTTAAACTAAGAGTAAGAACTACATGTAAGAACTAAGAAATAAAGCTGTCTAAATACCCTCTGGGTGAAGGCCAAAAAAAGAAGAAGAAGAACTAAGAAATAACCTAAAAATATATAAATAACCTAATATTTTGTTGATATTCAAATATTTTGTTATATAAAAAAATATATAAATAATTTATAAAGAAACTGAAACTAGTTTTCCCTTATTTAGAATGTTTGCAGTGAAGTCCCACATCAATATTTATTGTGCAAAATATTTAAAAATTATTTTGAAACAAAATTTTATGAAAATCTGTACAGGCACAAATACCTGGAACCAAACACAAACAAAATCAAATAGTAGTGGTGAAACTAACAGTTTGGAGTATCTCATAACTAAGTATGAACCGAAGTTATTATACAATAGTGTTATTGAAAGTAAAAGGATCAAATTAGGTTATAACAAAAATAATATACATATGCTGAACGTACTAAGATATAATGAAAAATTAAAAAATCACTTGGCAAGTATTCAACCTTTGCCACTTAGTCTGAAGTATTTATATGATAATAATGAATTCACAAATGTGGAAAACACTTGTAAAAATAAACAAGAAGGTGATTCAGAAAAATTGCTTCAATTTCCTTATAGTTTTAATATGAATAATGTGATAAAAGAACATGAAATTATTAATATAGAAGAAAGCACAACTGAGAAAATTAGCAGCATTAGTGATGAAATACAACAGAGGAGCAAATTATATAGACATACCAATAATTGGATGACTGCTTATGATAACTATGAAAATGATTTAGTTAGTGTTGATGAGAGCAGTGGTGAAATCAATTATGGAACGTCTGACCCAAACAGTGAAATAAGTAATGTACCATGTGGAGGTTGTGGTGCTTTATTACACTGCAAGGTATAATGTGTAGTTTGTATTTTATTTAGTTAATATTTCATTCAATTATTGAATAAAATAAAATAAATTTTTAAATTATCCCTCATCTTCGAAAAATTTTAAAAATATTTGATCGAAAAATTTTTCAAAAATAATTTAAGTGCTAGTTATATTACAAATCAGAATATTAAAAAAATTAACAAACTCCTTTTGTAGGATACAGGTATTCCCGGATATATACCCTCGGAAATATTTAAAAATTATAGGAAAAAAGGTGGAGCTAGCTTACAAGCGATGAAATGCCAAAGATGTTATTTTTTAAATGAATATAATTTAGCGCTTCAGGTCAGTGTTTCAGCAGACGATTACCCTAAAATTTTAACTGCGATAACAGAAAAGAGAGCATTAGTTGTTTTAATGGTGGACTTAATGGATTTTCCGTGTTCCATTTGGCCTGGAATAGCTGATATTTTAGGTCCGAAAACTCCAATAGTAGTTGTAGGGAATAAAATAGATATACTACCAAAGGATGGTAAATATTTCTTAAAAAGAGTTAAACAAAATCTTTTGGAACATATAAAATTATCTGGATTTGCAACAAGTAATATTTTGCATGTTGCTTTAATTTCTGCAAAGAGCGGTTACGGGATCGAAGATTTAATTACTTCATTACAGTCTTTATGGAAACATAAAGGTAAGTTTTACGTCATAATATTGATTAACATCTGATTATTATATTACTTGATTATGAAACAAAATATTTTACACGTAGATGTGCAATTCTGTCTAAATTTTTTATTGCAAATTTTGATTTTATTTTTCATGAAAGTTCTCTATATGAAAAAATTGCCACTTTAATTCTCATCAACCGTCACTGGCAGGGGATTTATTTTTCACATAAACGGTCACAATAGATACATTAGTTATTTTCCAATTGGCTAGTAATAGTCATATGAGTAACTAAATTTAGTTACTCATATGGTATTTATAATAGTTATTGAAGTGACATTATAGTGTTCTGCTGTATTCCAAAATTTTATATTTGGAACTCTACAGCCCAAAAAAATCGAATGTGTAAAATGACTTAAAACTTTTTTTTCGTATGAATTTTCCTTATCTGTAGGTTATGTTTATCGCAATTAAGGAGTGAATTTTGACACATAATTGTTTTTGCTTATAGGTGACGTTTATTTAGTTGGATGTACGAATGTTGGAAAATCAAGCTTATTTAACGCATTACTGCAGTCTGACTATTGCAAAACACAGGCATCAGATCTAATTCAAAGAGCAACCATTAGTCAGTGGCCAGGCACTACCTTGAACATGTTAAAGTTCCCAATAATGAGGCCTTCAGGACATCGCCTCTACTTACGTCATCAAAGAATGATCCAAGAGCAACATATTGCTTCTGAGAAAAATCGATTAAGAGAAGAATATCTAAAAAAATATAGGTCCGTTAAATATGCTTCTCTAATTGGTCATATCGGTCAAACGTATTTAAAAATGAATGATACAGGTAATGAAACGAAGGATTGCTTTTCAGTAAAAGGCCATGCAAATGCTTCTGGAAAATTTAAAATGGGAATTAATGAAAATAATCCTGAATATGTTGCAAGTCGTTGGTGTTTTGATACACCAGGCGTTATTCAACCTGACCAAATCGTCCACTTATTAACAATTGAGGAGTTAATGGCTGCTATTCCGAAAGAAATAATTAGACCTGAAACTTTCTGTATCAAGCCTGGAACTTCTTTATTTATTGCTGGCTTAGCCCGATTAGATTACTTGGAAGGGCCTGGATCTGTGAGGTATTTCTGATTCGTATTCTAGAAGCTCATATAGCGTATGTCAACCAAAAGTAGCCACCGAAATCACTGAATCAAATACAGCTTTAATATTGATGGATCTAGCTTAAAATTTTTAACTATGTCGATTGCCGACTCAGCTGTATTTTATTTTTTGTTTTATTTAACTGATTTCTTACTCTTCAATTACTCTTATGGTATTGTTCAAAGGGACCACCACTGTACATAATAGTTTGATTTGATTTTGAAATGTGTACGGACATCGTAATGCATTTGGAGTTAATGACGGTTATTTGTGAACTACTTTCTAATGCAAATCCTGGAGATATAAGTTTTGCTGCCAACACCAAATTTCCTTCTTAAAAATAAATCTAAAGGTTAAAGGTCAGGTGACCTAATTGGCCATTTTAAGGGACCTCTTCTTCTAATTTATTTTATTACTAACAATTACCTGATTTCTAGAAGATGAAATATATGTATTGAATACAGTGGTGGTCACTTTAACTCAATATTTTGAATATTTTTGGTAATCAAAAACAAAAGTAAATTTGCCGTGGCCTTTCTACACTTTCGGAGTTTTGCAATTTTGCCCGATAGGAAAAATCGCCGAGGATTAACAGTGTATGGGGCCTCTTACGTTTTACAGTTTGTATATGCAATTTAGAAACAAATATGTTTATAATGGATCTTATTAATCCTTCAAAATATTTAAGCCATTATCAATATTTTCAGGTTAACTGTATTCAGGTCAAACGAATTACCAGTTACGTTATGTAATCTAGAGGAGGCAAGCTGTATTTATCAAGAATGCTTGGGAACAGAATTGTTAAAGGTACCAATGCAGGGTAAAGACAGATTATCAAAATGGCCAGGATTAGAATCGAAAGATCCTTTTGCTGTAACTGGAACTAATCCAAAAAAATCTTGCAGAGATATAATACTATCTAGTGCAGGTAATAATAAACTTACCCTTTCATTATCTTTTCTATTAAAATAATATAATAACTACATGTCTTCAAAAATAATACATTTTAATTTTTTTCAGGGTGGGTTGCGATAAATTGCTTAACAGATAAAAATTACAAATTTCAAGCTTGGACTCCAGAAAAGAGAGGAATTTATATAAGAGACAGTCTGTTACCAGACGCTGTGACATTAAGAGGTCCTAGAATTAGAAACAGTATCGCATATAAAATGCATAGATTTGTGTAATAAATTTTATCCGAGTTTAATTTAAGTACTTTCCTCTATTATACTAGAAAAAACGTTTAAAGTGAGCATCAACATCGAAATCTGCTTTGGTTTCAACCAGGAGGTTGAAGAGCCAGAGGCAAAAAAATTATTTGAATTTACTAAACCTAGTTTTTTGATAGTTGATTACAGTAATTGTGTACACAAATATACTGTGGTTAGTCAAGCGAAACTGAGAACAGGTGTTTCTGGTACACTATCAAATAAGTTGTATATTGAGGTAATAAAATGGTCTATTCAATGTAATTAAGATGTATATTATTAATATTTCTATAAATTACATTATAAAATAAAATTTGTAAATAGTTGGTTGAATAAGGAAAAGAGCGAACTGCCGCGCCGCTTGCAACGCCTATGGCCCGCGTGAGATTTTTATTTCTTTCGCTGACCGAGCCACAAAATTGTTGACTGACTTTTTTTATGGTTAATATAACAATTAATACCCTTACAAAAGTTTTGAAGTACAGTAAATGAATTGTATAACGATTTTTAGCCTTAGTAAATTCATTTTATTACCTCGGTAGGTACGAATGATACATCTTTGATATTATACGTTTTGTGTCTTTGATAGTGTACCTGAACCTGAGACACCCTGTTTCGCTTGACTGACCACATAGACCTAGTAGTAGTTTATAAGGTATATGACTCATCACTCACCACGACCACAGTATGTTTGCATCAGAGATATGGAGTAGGGAGAACGAGCGTCAAGATGCGCAAACTTGCTAATAAAGGAGGTCGCCATTTTGAAGGCTTTAGATACGAGGGGGGACTGCATTACATTATCAGGTCAGTTCTAAAATTTCTAATTAGAAACACACATAACTACATTAAATTTGAAATAAAATATGAACTATTAAATACGTACTTTTGAAATTTTCAATTACAAATTAATTATTTTTCATAATTTTCTAGGTATATCTGAATATTTATTATATAATAAAAATTTAAATTTTCACATATGCACTTCATAAAAAATATATTAAATACTATATTACCCAAGAACAACGGCTAAAGTTGTATCATTACTGCAAAGGATATTATTACATATCATATATGTATAAATCTCCACACACTCCGACATTGTGCTTATCTTTTACATTGAATTAATTGAATGATACTTTCATTATGTTATAGCCATCTTGTTTCACAGAAGGTTCAACAGAGTATATTAATCACACCAATTATAATATATTTTTGAGACAATAAACTTTAACAGATTGCGGTAGGAACTCAATTTATATGAAATAAAAAAAACATTTGCGATGTAGTTTCTAAATATTTTGTATATTAAAATAAAACACTGTATAACTAACATATTTATTTACTGATGGTTAAAAATAATTAATTTATTTAATTTTTGTCTTAATGCAGGGCCTTGAATAATCCGTCCTTCATTTCTTTTCTTAAAGACAACTGTTTTTTTAGCACTGTAAAACTTTCTTCGGTAAGTTTCCTGTCTATGTTTCAATATAAAATTTTTCGTTGCAACTGTAGTAGGGGATGTACTGCAAAGATATTTTCATTATTATAGTTATCCATTAAACAACTGAAGCCAAATTTTTTGTCGATAATCTTACCTACACGAATGTATGTTTTCATTGCCAGAATTCTCCTTTTAGCACTGCTATCAGTACTAGTGTTACCATTCAATGTATTCTGAACACTGAAAATAAAATTACTGTAAATATGTTTCTTAATTTATTAGGTCCATATCAAACAATTTGGCAGGGTACGTATTTAACATCCTTAGCATTACTACTATTTTTACAAATGTTTATTACCTTAAATCCAGTTGTCTCTTCTTTTTACGTTGAACCTTCTTGAACTTCAGTAACATTATAGGCATAGAACAACACTATACTTTGTGAACTGATTACAGCGCCATCTATCGTATGGAAACGACTTCTCACTTATATCCTCTATATTATATTATTTTAAACATTTTAAAAGTAAACCCTTATACAAATAGGAATAGTCAAGTGTTAATACTTTTGAGAACAGATTATTTAGTTAAACAGAAAATGTAGCAAAAAACTAATATTCAGTACTTTTCTAATTTACTTCTGCTTTGAAAATCAAACTAGAGGTTTCAGAAACGTCATAGTGTTATTGTGATGTGTATTTGTTTTTCCAGTGCGTAACCAGACTTATACATGTAGATGTATGTCTGGCATCTCACTATTAGGCAAAAGTTTTCAGTATTGACACTTGACTGTCCCTATCGGTACAAGGGTTTATTTTTCCAGTTTTTTTTTCTTCAAACTATGGCAAAATATCCAAATTATAACATTTATAATGCCACAAATAAATACAGACAATTTCTTATTTATTATTTTATTATATTATAGTATTTTTCAAATTTTGACATTTGCCAAGATATACTTAGTAAATGGTTTCGATAAGGAAATAAAACATTTTTTAATAATTTTAAGTTTATTTTGTATCTACAAGAAATCCTAATTGATTTATACAGAATGTTGTTATGCATGTACTATTAAAACAATTTCTTGTTATGTATTTAATTGTAGGTAAAAACGACAACGATTTAATTCATTTGCTTCATAAACTTGATAAGTTGGTAAGTAAGCTGTAAAAATATAAAAATTATGCATGAACTGTTATAATAATCTCAC